CATACGTATGAAAAATAAATTTAAAAGGAAGCCTTCACATGCCATCCGCAACCACTTCACTTGTCAGCAATCACTTAAGCAAAGCATAGGATATCCAATCAAATCATGAAATGTGTCATTAGGTGGACAAATAAAAGCCATAAAAGTTGGTATGTTTGAGGCTGACCACCTTTATTGCCTTCGTATTTAAATGAATCATCGTTAAGCATGGTGTTTTGTTCTGACGATGTCTGCCACACGATGGACAGCTCATCAAGGATTCATCGGAATCGCAGGGAGATGCGCATAAGACCTATTGGCCTTAAGGCAATCTCCCTTCAGCTTCCGAAGAGGGTAACTTAAGAATCCCTGGCGCTCGTCTCCATATGAAATAAAAGGAACTCCAAAATCAATTAAGAGATTATTATAAATCTAGTTATTTTACATATATCTACTATCAGTCTCTAAGACGCCATTCAACCAAGGTCAAATAATAAACAACGCCAGTAATTTTGACCTCGAAGCAGTATATCAGCAGCTTAATGACATTCATTTATGTTTCTTTTTTCTGGCCACCTCCACAAATAGGAAACTTATCATAAACACTTACCTCACGCCTCAAAGCGGCTTCCACTTCTTGCCTGGCCTTTCGTTCAGCCTCCTCAGCGCGTTGACGTTCGATCTCGGCTCGCTCAACTTCCACACGTCGCTCCACTTCAGCAGCAAAATCTGACGACCTCTCTACCAAGAGGTGTTGTAGCTGCTCGTGTAGATGCCGCTCCAGACGCCGGGCTACTTCTTCTTCAAGCAGTTTAGACTCCGCCCATCGCTGTCTCCTATAAAACAGATTAAGGATGGGAAAAACTCAATCCTTACTGCAAAAAAATTGCGATCATAATAAATGAATATTAAAACCCTCGAATAAGGCCCCTATCATTTCTATGATACATCTTAGAGGGTGCTTAAAGTGAAATTTCGAGAACCAAAAAACAATCTAACAGCTTTGCTCAAATGAGAAGATGCGTAGGCTGCAGGAAGTAGACCGGGCCTCGGACAAGATTCGGTTATTACATCAAATATGTT